TTGCAATTACAGTTGTCTAGGGTTGAATTTAACAATCATTGTCTTGATCAATTAGTTGTTAAATAGTTAATGTATCCATTTTGTGTTGTGAACATTTTGAAAATTGTATTAATAATTTGAATTTCCTAAGGCTCAATATGAGATCCTCTTTCCGATTAAAACACACATATTAGTTTTACATGTACAAGTGTGCACATATACAATACTCAACTCAGAGAATAGACAATGTTATGCTTTAGCTATTTAATGTTATGTATATAATTAATGTTAATGTTATAGTAGAGCGTTTGAAGAAAATAAATCATGTGTAAATGATTAACACTTACTTTGTTCTCATGTTAGTTTGCATTGACAGGGATGTTATCTCCCGTGTTTGCTAACATTAGTGTGTTCTCCATTGAAGAGCTAAAAGCAGCTCATCAAGAACTGAGAACACATAATTAATTAGACATGTTCTCACCACAAATCCACAGTGGGAAATCAGCAGGTGTTAATTTTTGACTTGAGTTTATACTTCACACTTGCACGTCAAGCTTCCTTTCGTTGCCATAAGGCGAATTCTTTTTTTCAAAGCAGAGGAAAACAAACAGTTACGCTTGTTGTTTCAAAAGAACTAATTTCTAGAATTAAAGTTACACATTTCCTCTTTTAGCCTTAACCAACCCTGTTGTCTTATCCGTGGGGATTTTAAATTGGAAGTAATACACCACAGCCATGTTATCCCTGTCTTTCAACAAACACAGTTAACCTCCCGGGGGGGTGGCGCGCATATTGTTAAACTGTTTGATTGAACCAATTTTAAAAAACCTATAAACTCAGCATATTTAAACCCCCGCTGGTCTGAGGCCTCTGAATGTCTGCCTGACCCGACACTTAAAAAGGTAAGGAGCTGCTTTGTTTTATCAATAAGACCTTGTTTTCATGGCTGGTCACCACCCCAGCAAACCAATCAATGGGGCATGCTCCGCTATCGCTGTGAGAGAAATGAAAAATAAACCCCAGATAATCCTTCAGTTAAAAGGTTACTCAGGGCGATAAAAGCTATTTTGTTAATTTATTTACTCTCTGCACTGGAGAGATAAAGAAAAGGAACAATTAGGGAATTCTAGGTGAGAGATTTTAAAAGGGCAATGACATTGGGTTAATATTTTATAAGGCCTGATTGGCAGAGACCTGGAGAGGCCTTTTGTTTACACAAGCCCCAGACGGAATGATTCACTCGCTTGTTTTGGCCGACTGGGCGGAAATGGAATAAATATCTTCATCCTTACCTTTTAGAAACGTCAAACAAAAGACCGAGATAAAAGGTTAATGGCTCAATCATAACCACCAGGAAGTAATATTATGCTCTTTCCCTGCAAACTGGAGTCGCTATTGACATAATCAGGTTGAATTCCTAAAGATATACGAAGATGGGAGGAGCAGATGATATTTGTGTGTAACTAAATCCACTGAGGGAGTGCGCTCACTTGGGCTAAACATTACATTTGTGGTTTCAATTGATTTATAACAGATCATAATCACTGCATTAACGGCGTTCTGGGTAATAAGATCTCAGTCACTGCTTCCGTCGACAGAAAAGTGTCTGATAGTGAGATGTCAGAATTTTGCCTGGAGATCAAAAACCGCCCAGATATCTCATTTGATATTATACCTCTTATTATACCTATCACCTCGTGTTGGCTTCCTGTAAACGGTGAGAACGTGAATTTAATTATTGGCCTTTTATTGCATTGTAGCGCTGAAATTGGACTCGTGTGGAGTGTATTGTTGGGCCCCGTGTAATCTGATTGCCTGCGCAGCGTAGTGTGTTGGATAGTATCAGGTTCCAGCCGACTCTGCTGGGTCAACACACGGCCGGGCCATTAAGGGAAGTCTGGTTCAGGGAAAGTTCACCACTATTTTCCTTTCACCATGGTAGCGAAACAAAAAAGAGAATAGATGTGTAACATATTTGTGGCCCCAGCCCGAAGCTGGTGGGGCCTATTTTGTTTCCTTAATTCAAGCCAGAGATATGAGGGCTCTGAATATCTTTTAGTATAAATATAAATAAAGCAGGGAATACAATTATTTTATGATTGACTTCCAATACAGAATTGTCCAAATAAGTCCATTTTAAAACCCGGAGGTTCCTATTTTTAGGAAACATTTACAGTAGTGAAGGGAAATTGAAAAGAAGCAAGGAAGATTAGGAAAGACCACATTGAATAAGGCATGAGAAGAACCAGAAATTCCAATCATAAATCCAGTTGTGCTGTGTTTTTTTTGGTGCAATAATGGCCTAGTTTGGAGCAGTTTTTCTGTGCCAGGCTATTTAGGGAATCAGCATCTGCTGCTTGATAAATAGCCTGGCTCTTTTGTGTTAGGCCAGGTTGAGTTCCTCTCTGGACCCGGCGTATCAGCCTGTACCGCTCTGACCAGTGCAGAATCTGCAGTAATGTTAGCAGGAATGCCTCAGCTGTGGCGTTCAAAGGAACAATATGTCATACTGTTAAGGAGGATTACAGCAAACTACATAATACACAAAGCTGTGATTATATTAAGAAAGATACAAAATAGTCACAGCACACCCTCTTATAAAGTGTAAGCCTTTGCTGTCACAAGGAAAAGAGGCGATAACTTTAATTTCTGGGGGATTTCCTGTTACTTGAAAGTCCCTCAGTTCAAAGCCTTCCTTTTTTTAGTTGGTGTATTGCTTTCATGGCTAGCCGGTGTTATTTGTGTGCAGACAGCAGTTGAAATGCTATCCCTTTAAACACCCAGTCACATTCTCTAGCAGCCTATCTAAACATTACCTTTACTTAACCGGGTCTTTGTACCTGGGTTCACATTCTTTGACATGATCTAAGGTGGATGTGACGTTTTTTTGTCCATTTGAGGGCCTTTTTGCTTTTTGTATCGTTGGTAAAAAGCCTTTTACCCATCACATACCCTCTATTGAGGTCTTTCATAAATAATTCAGCCAGAGCACAAGTGAAAGTGATGACAGCAAAACTGTGTGCGATCTCTCCCTCTCATAAGATCAAAGAGGTGCTTCTATAGAAATAGGAATTACATTTCCAGACGTTCCTAGGTTCATTTCGCTCATTTCTCGTTCTCACTTTCTCTCTCTCACTTTCTCTCTCTCACTGGCTCCCTCTCACTTTCTGTCATTCCCTCTCCCTCTCGCCACTTCTTTCTATCACTTTTGTGTTTTCCCTCCAAGGGGACACAGTTGTGTAAAGGGCTGCTTTTAGTACTAAAACCTCCAGAGCCGGTATATGAGAGAGTCAGCACATTCAGACAGATAGAGCGAGTGCACTCTATTAGCAGGACTGAGGTAAATAAACCTCACAAGACACGGCTGAATAAATGCAACTACTAAGGCTGTGTGGTATCTGAACTAAAACACTGCATCACTCTGCAGATACTGCCTTTGGGACCTGTAATGAAATGTACTGTAACGCAAACAGCCACATTTACTTTACTGGTTGATAAAGTCCACAATTAGACACCGTTGTTAAATGAAATTAAAGAACAACTAATCAGTTGGTATCTTTAATTACATTTATCTGAATCTCAATTGCTATAAAACCCTATAAATCAGTAATAATCTTTAAATAATTTGACAAAGATTCTAAATATGACATGGTAAAACACTAGTTTACCAACAAACAATACATTAATAATGAAAGTTATTAAATTAAATGTTATGAGTGTAGTAAAATACCACTTATTCAGATGTATTTTTGAAAATATATTCCAATTAAACTTCACGATAACACTTGGCAGTTACATTACTGCGTTTGCATTTTAACACCCCCTTTTAAAGCGTATTTACAGAATAAATATGAACCTCAATTCAGTCTTCTTCCTATCCTTTTTATATAAAATGATATTTATTTTGTACTTATTATTTATTCATCCTGTTTATCCATGTTGCCTCCTTAGTTACGCACGCTACAGCAGTGTTTTATGGATGGACTGAACTCAGTTCGTAAGAGAGAACTTAGTATCCCGGTAAAGCTTGAAAATGTACTATTGTATGTGAAATAATGTATGAAGCCAATATGTCACCTGTGTCAAGACACCATAATTCATCTTGGGCTGAGACATCCAGCTCCTTGTTCATAAAGAATATACCTCTATAGGACCATGGCCCCCTCATTATGGGCTCATTGCATTTTGTTTTCACCCTGTAGGCCTTTCTCTGTAACTATAAGCCAGCAAAGTAGGTATTGATTGCAACTCGAAGCTGTATTAATAAGTGTATGAGTAAGATGTGTGGAAAGTCAGGGGTGTATCTGCTCTGAAGGCTTTTCTCCTGCACTGTAAGGTGGCACAGTCATTTATCACGGCTGGATCTGTGCCCCTCGTTTGGTGTAATAAAACTCCCCCATCAGAACCGTCCAACAGGTCTGAATCACTCTGTCACACCACCTTCCAGCTAAGGCACGCATTAAATCAAGCAAGCAGAACATTTCCTCAGGCAGCCATTGCCTTTTAATTTCCTGAAGAACCTTAAAATATCATTCATTACCAGAACTACACATATTTGGTTTTTAAAAGTCTCATAAATCAATAGTGGCCTGACTGCAATAATTATAACAAGTTAACATGTAATTTCCAGGCCGAAGGCCGCGCTCTGGATTTTAGCATATGCAAACGAGGCAATTCAAATAGTGGAGGGATATTAATACGGAGGAACAGGTAACGAGGTACGGGTTATGAATTATGCATCAAAAAGTGGTTGATCTTCAATAAAGGAAATGAATTCACCGTGTAATCTAATTAGTTATGGAAGTCTATTATGTTGAGCTGCAGAAAGCAACTGTCCTTGAAAAGAAATGTATTTACAGTCCATGTTAGCTCTATGGATTGGAATTGCATTCTGGGGCGCCCAAATGTTAACACCCCCCCCGCCATCACCATCACCACCACCACCACCCACACAACCCCTCCTCCCCCTGCCAGTTTCTTCCTGGTTTCTTACCCACAATCTCTTCCTTTTGGTGTTTCAGCTCCAGACCCGGACGGCCCCCGAAGAGGAGCCAGTGCTTGACATCATCGGAGAACCCCCACATCATGCCCCACTCGGTCCCTGGCCTCATGTCCCCTGGCATGATCCCACCCACAGGTATGGTTTGGTCTTGGTCTACAGCGCTCTGTCATTGTTGCTAAGGCTCTAATTCGATCTGTCTGGGTGTCTTCTATCTCTCTCTTCCTTTCTGTCACACACACTCAAGCACACACACACACACACACACACACAGCCTCCCCACCAGTGGCCTCCCCGCAGCTTGTCCTCGAAATGGCAACCAGTCCAAAGTGACACATGCACCCAACCACCAGACACCAGCCGCTCACTCGTTTACCAAAAACAGATCTTCTGCTCAACCCCCGGAAACTAAAAGGGGGGGGGGGGGGTGGGAGAGAATAAATTGGAGTGGAGATCTTTTCTCTCAGATTATTCCAGTAGATGTTGCATTTTGCCTTGAGTGCATTCTAATTAGTGCGATTAAATCCACTCCACTGGTATATGTACATAGGCAGTGATCATGCTAAAGCAAGCTTATCGCCACGAGAATCAACAACAACCATTTGTGCCCTAACTTAGCCCTCGGGCCAAGTCTTATTGCAACCAATGCTTTTGTTCTATTTGTGGCTGGCTTCATTGTGACTGCTTTGATGTTGGTGGCGGTAACTGCTCTGATTTGCATATTTAGCTCTCCTTCCTTATATGTCTTTAATGATATTGTACTGTTGAACGGAGCTCTTTGAATGCTTACCCACTGTATTTAACCAGCTATTTATTATAGTACTTTAGTAAGAGATAAAACAGCTGGTTTTCCATGGTAATCTTCAGCGTATAACAGACTTTTAATTATCCTACCATTTTTTTACATCTGTGTGAAATCAGTCAGAAAGTGTTTTTTCTTCTTCTTCTTCTTCTTCTTTTTCTCCAAAAGGCAGCGTCTGTGAGGGGTTTGAAATTCAATAACACACATTGGGCCATCCTTGTGATTCAGTACAATGGGGGCTCACAGGCTACTGCTTTGAACTCTGGGAATAGAGTGAGGTCACTGGCTATCTGCGGCGCGGCATAGAAGGCGAACTTAAAGGCCGAAGTGAACACAGAGAAGGACAATGATGAGAAAGACCCATGTTATTTAGTGGAACATAAAGCAAGTGAAAAGCCTTTTGATATCATCCCCTTTAAGCCCGGGGGGACTCTATGATCTTGACATTTAGTCAGGGTATTCAGGGGGCACAGATAAAATAATTGAGGTTTTCGGTTTTCTCATAACTGCCTTAAGCTTCTCAACTGTGGCGAGACATAACTTTTCCATCAATTTCTGTGTTATAATTAATCCATTTATTGTTTTGATTATAGTATTAAGCATTAAATGTCAAAGAAGTTACACATTCTGACGGATTCCTAATTTAGTATAATTGACCACACATAAGTTAGCATCTAAGTAGGCGATTAATTGATCTCCCTGTCATGTCCAAATGTACTGATTGATGATTAGAAAACCGACATTAAAAAACTGTCTCATACAGTTACACTATCATGTCATGTCATATTAGTTCATTTTTCAGATGAGTTAGCGCCTGCACACAGACCCCACGGCTTTTCCCGAGGCTTCACTCATTTCCCACGAAAAAGCCACTTCGCAGTTTAATTTGGGCTGCAAAGATGGAGCGAAACATACACAGATACATGTTAACAGTCGCTCTCTCTTGGTGTTACATTTGCAAATAATACATAATGCAGCTCCTTATCACCAAGGATTGATCTTTCAATTGTACAAAAGGTCTCACCCTTTTTTTAGATGTACATTTTTCATATATTTTATCTTACCACTTCAAAAGGCGGCATGCCATGACAGAATCAATGTCTTAAGTCAATTCACTCTGTTTAAGGAATTTTGTTTGATTTCTTCACGCAAAATGTCATCAGCAAATGTTTTTTTTTTTACATATTAGACACAGACATTAGACATAGACACACATCATACTAGATTTAAATCATAACCATATTCAACACAGTGGAAAGATGTCATCTTCGCACTCTAACAGGACCAGAAAGCCCTATGTGAAACACATTGTTAACATATGTATCTTCGCCCTTGACACCAGTTCCACTTAGAAGAGGACATCTTAATATGCTTAGGTTTTCCATTTAAGGAAAATACCCTCATATATGTGTGTGAAAGCACATGTGTACGTGCAAGTGTCTGAATGCCTGCTTGCTAGCGTTCATGCCCTCGGGGGGTGTGTGGGGGGGGGTTGAGCTGGAGCCTTTCCAGTTGCTGATGCATTACAGGCAGATTGGCCCCCAAATCGGATTATTTGCTGTGGACTGACACCACACTGAGATGACATCTCCTTTAAAGTGGAGAGGGCCTCCACTCACACTCTGGCCACTACTTAAGCAGCAGCTTCAATATAATTCATTTATGTCCTGGATATGGCTTCAACCTTTTGAATAAGGCAAGAGTACTGCATTTACCATTAGAGAAATGAATGTCACCTACATCTAACCAGAGTGTACTTTACTGATAAAAAACAATATTTCCTAATACTGTCTGCCTCAGCCTTACTGTGTGTGTGCACGTGGTTCCCTGTGCCTCAGAGAGCTGGTTATTCTTACAAGTACTGTAGGAGGAGACATATTGTAATATTTATGTTCGTTTGATGTACAATTAGCACGTCAGCTCCTAGAGTGGATCATCTAATCCGGTGCCACTTCAAGCTGTTTTAAAATAGATCCCGTATGCACCAGGTAATTTAGTGTCAGTTCTTTGTGTCTCTTCCCCTCCTATTTCAGTCCGCTGCTTGTCATAAGGTTAGCGCGCTGCGTAATTGATACTAAATTTGTCATGATGTGGATAGCACAGTTCAAGTGGTGCAGTGTACCTAAGAGTCGCGTTGTTCCCAACCCCAGTTTGTCATTGCTGCGCTGCCACCAGTCCATGCATAAAATTAGGCGGCCATGCTCATTGACATGGAGTGTCTCTCTCCTACTTATCCCGCTTGCCCGATAAATAAAGTGTGTTTTCATTGTTGCCCATGGTGCAGTCCCTAACAGAGACAGAACAGAAACACAACAGATAAGCCCCGCTTATTTTTCCTTTTTTAATCACTGCGAGAGAAAGTCGTAAAAGTCAGTCTTTTGTGTACTGATGTGAAGTTAATCTGATTTTAATTTAATTATACGAGTTAGTTGCGGAGGGCACAGGCATTGGGGTGTTTGTTGTAAGAATGTTCTGACATTGGCGCAGGTATGGGGCAGCTAGCATGTTAATTAATGATGAAGATCCTGACAATATGCAGAGGCATGACAGCGTTAAGCCAGTCGGCTGCTGCTTCCTTTGCATATTAATAGATCCTTCATTATTATTTAATATGACAGCTGCTCCAAGGGCTACCATCAGACCTTGTCTCTGTTATTTGCTGTTTTGTGCTCCCCATGTGACACTGGCATGCTATTCTCTATTTGTTGAAATGTTCCTCTTTTCTCTTCTCTGACTGGTGTTGCTCTCTACATGCCTCCGTGAAGCGCTGTTTGTTTTGTGCTCAGGAGGATTCTTTTCTGACCGTGTGCATATATGAGAAAAGTATCTGAATCTAAAGGTGACTTTGAAAGAATATATGAGGCAGGATTGTTTTGTTTGCATAGTAATGAATGCAGATTAGCACTGAGTGGGATTGGTCTTGTTGACGTTTAGACTTCTAGTGGCTTAATAGACTTGTTGCTGGGCGCCAACATCTCCCTGGCTTCCTTATTACATCCACTGTGTCGAGGTGTGTGTTATCTGGATATGACAATTGATCCGGTGAAATGAAACAATTATCAGAACAAAGATTTCAATTCATACAGTGTGTCACTTAGTCAAAGACCGGGTGGAGGTTTGGGTGGAATGAAAAATGGAAACGTGATCATTTCATCTGTTTCACTATAGTAGAAATCCATTTCTGAGCATTTATTTACTCAATACACATTTGTTCAAAACCTGACACCCTATTCTTTATGGATTCATTTCCCTATTGTTTTTTTTACAATATAGTCCACTTTACTTTAGAAAGAGATATGTTGAGGACAGACAGGCTGCAGTGCAATAAACCACAGAGAAAGTTAGAGAGCCTCAGAAAGCACCACTGCGGCACTCCTTTGAGCGGCACCTGATTTGTGGGGGGAATTTATCACACAAACAGCCCAGAGGTGATTTCAATATTTACTCGGCAGTCTGTTCTGCATACGTCTCATTTGGAAAACAGTTGACTCTTGCCCATTATACACAAATGAAGGCTGACCTTCAGACTGGGCAGAGGCCACATTCATTATGTGGAGAAGTATCACCTTCTTATGAGGCAATGGCTTTTTTTCCCCCTGATCTGCCCATGCATATTGAACAGCAGCCAGGGTCCACTGCAAACGAGAGGGCCCGGGCTGACATGATATATACTGTACGTCAATATGGTACTGATGTATTTTAAGATGCAAACAAGGCTTTAAATTATATGCACCTCCATGTCAGTGGCTCAGAGTGACTCTCGCCATCTGCCTATCAGCTGGGGATGAGAGGAGAGGGTGCCCAGACCGGTGTGTTCTTTGTGTCTGTGTGTGCGCATGCTCTCATGTATCTATTAGAGCCACATGTTCGATTTTTCTACCTCTCCTTGTACTCGTGTCTTCCCTCAGATGCATGGCTAATAGCTGCTCTTGAGTCCCATCACGGAGACGTGACAGCTTAGTGATGATAAACGCAGACGTTGCCTTGTTCTGCGTCAAACGCAAAGCAAACCTGGATATTCAGTATGAGCAGATCCTGTAAAAGGGCAGGTGATACACCGTATTGTGGATATGAGTGATTCCACTAATAGGTGCATATCTTTTTCTCGCCGTGCATCTTTGATTTTGTTGCTGGGGTTGGCAAGAAGAGTCGTGGGACTCTCCTGAGACACAGCAGGCCTGGAGGAGCTTTAGCACTATCTGTCCCTGCTGTTTGAGACCAGCCTCATGAATAAAGATTTCAGTCACGTTCAATACAGCAGAACCCTGGAAATACCACAATGACAAACCAATGCTTTATGATCTCTGCAGTGTGCTCAGCATATGTATGTCTATAATCGCAGACTTAGTACATCAATCATATCAAGTCCATTTTGATCGAGGTGGACAACCATTTCAAATATTGCTGTTCCAGGGTATATTTAGGGATGGCATTGGAAATGTGAATGATAATTAAAAAGTTGATAGTCATTTAGACTGCTTATGAAAAAATCTACTTCAGGCCTGAGCAGAATCCATGTGTATTCATAAAGAAAGATGACATGTTATCAGACATTTTCAGGTGATATGGAATCTAAAAAACATGTCATAATTGCTGGATTGTAAAATTAAGCTACCTTTAAAAATTCGGTGAATGCAGACACAAAGACTATCAAGTAGGAACAATAGCGTTTACATTCTTTTTTTTCATTCTGGAAGTTAAACACATATTTAAAGTTATGGCCATTAATATTAATATTTTAATTTAATATTTTATCTTATAATCTATCTTAGTATTTACATTTGAGTTTTTCGTTGCCCTTATGTGTCAATAGCGTCTTTTTATCTATTGCCTCATTCATTTCCTGAGTATGTTGGGTTATGTTTTTGAAAATGTAATAGAGATGATATTCAATTTTTACATTTCTTGACTTTTTTGAAGGATCATAATCTTTAGTTAGTTTTCACACATGGCCCTCCAAGTACTGAATGCACTCAAAGGCCTTTTCAAGTGTTTGAATAAAAAAACTTCAATACCTGGCACATTGTTAATAGTTTTCCATTCTGCTTGATGACTGGCCTTGACTCTCAAAGAGCCGTATTATTATGAGACTCTAAAGTCTATCGCTGTAAAGAACTTGAATACCAATGTTAAGCATTATTCAGGGATTTTGCATCCATTGAATACATTAGAAGGTATGATTAAAATACCCTCAATAAGGTTTTTGAGACATAGTTCTCTTCACATATTGAACCCGTCTCACTTTTTATCTCCACTCATGTCACATTGTATCACCTCTCCTTTATTACACACACACATACTTTGCGTATTGCACATACAAAACGCATCTTGCAGTATTACCTTGACTGCATCTGTTCTCATCAAGGTACACATACATCAATATAGTGGGGAGGAATACCGGAGTCCATGAAACATTTATAAAAATCATATGCTGCCACACACACACACGGATCCATCCCATCAGCATGATAACCTGCTGTGAAGATATCCCCTGTCAGAGGATGAAAAACCAAGCTGTGATCTCATAGGCGCTTATTCCCCCTAGTGTATACAATTATTCATTGTTTTATTATTTCAAAAGTCCTATTTGTTTGTTGTCTTTCTTCACCGGGGAAGGTTTCTGAAAGGTTTTGCAGGTGCAGTGGCTCAGCCCCAGCAGACATGTAGTGTTCTGTAAGCTCTGTCTCTTCTCCTCCTCTCTCCAGGTCTGACAGCGGCGGCGGCAGCTGCTGCCAACGCAGCCATCGCAGAGGCCATGAAGGTCAAGAAGATCAAGCTGGAGGCGATGAGCGGCTACCACGGCAACGCCATCCACCACGGGATGGACATAGAGAATGGAGACCTCGGCTCCAGCGTCGGTGAGGATGCCCTTCACACACACCGTCACAAACTCTTTTACAATCATATTAAACGGAAGACAAACGTTTGTTGCAAAGACAGACACAAACACACACTTAAAGACCTGCTTTCTCATCTCCATTTTGACATACACCACAAAGCGCCAATATGGTGTTTTAATAATAGAAAAACACTGTATATAAATAATAAAAATCTGCATCAAAATACATACATAGATTTAATGTAATGCACGTTTGCTATTGGATAGAAATGATGATCTATGAATTATGCCAATTGAAAGACATTGGCAACATAATAAAAATGTTCCAACTTGAAGGGATGGGCAAAGATATTCTAGGAGTAGGGGAAAAGCTGCTCAAACTTTAAAAGGGGACAATATGTAATATAATAATATTAATTGGAATATGGTCATGTTATATTTCTCCAAAGGCAAAAATGTATCAGTTGTCTTGAATGTTCATATTCTGCTTAAATAACATCCTAGTACGTTTATTAATTATAATACGTTTATTTATTATAGCACCTTTCACATAAATAGATTTCACAAAGTGCTTCACAAGTAAAAATGAAGACCACAGAAACATGAATACAATAACCACATGAGGCAGAAATGTAAGGTGAACATAAAAACAAAACACAGACCAATATCCAAACATTTCCAGCACCGGAAACAAACACCTCTCTGACAGAAGTAATCAATAATCCCATCAAACCAAATACTCACTGTCTCCACTATACTGCTGCTTTCTTAAAGGCTTGTTTTGTTTAGTATGCACTGTGAATATCCACCATGAGGTAAGTCTGGTTTGCTCTTGAAACATTTTACACTTTGTGTGGAAAGATTTTTTTTTTTTTTTGAAAAGCCTCGTTGCTAATAGCTAAGTGAAACTGTGAACACAGTTTCCCAAAGCTATCAGCTTTTAACAAGATCTAATTGAATTGCTGTGAAAGCATTGGTTTTTCACTATGTGCCATTTCAATTCATTATTAGCCAGAAAATGCAGAAGGATTTTCCTAATATCACACAGAACCACTTAGTGTATTAAAGAGAAAGATAATGTATGTTAGTGCGGATTCATGAGCCCATTCCAAATTATAAACCAAATGTAATCCCTGTAGCTTTGGTTGCTAAATGGAGATTTTGATTCACTTACTGTAATAAATGGCTCGACTGCTGAATACATTTCATCAGTAATACTTGACACCATGGAGCTTATGGTGTGTGAGATGAAAACAGGATGTGTTTCTAAGCAGATTTAACAATGCAAAATGCATAAAGTGTGAGGTCATCACTCCAAGAGAATGGAGTATGTAAAAAAAGAATACGAGCGTACGAGGTCACGGAAATAAAGATAAATGTGAGTACCAACAGCAAGGCTATGGCAATGGAGCTAATAAGAAACTGTTTTATCTTTTTACAATTTAAATTGTAACCTTGAGCCCACAGCCAGCCACACAAGCTCCCGGTAGAATCATAATTCTGGCAAGGGGGAGCAGCGCTAGGTGTGGGTGCATGGGCCATAGCATTAGCTCTCTGAGTGAAATATATGGCAGTGACGCCTCTCGGCCCCATCCACAATCAATTGGATTCTTTTCCTTTAATATTTACTCGCAGCGATGAGATGCTCGTCTGCATGGTGATGAACAGTCTGCCACTGGCGTTTGAAGGTGACCTGTCAGTGAGTATGGACAAATCTCTCGCTCGCAGAAATGTAGAAAATAAATCATTAGGGGCAGGCAGTCAGACAGGGGCTTCTCTCTCTCCCTCACTCTCCTCGGATTTAAATCAGCTCAGATTTATGATTTGAATTAATGCTTCGTTTGGTCAAAGGAATGGTCGCTGAGACAAATGATGTTTGGTACTGAAACCATCCTAATATTGATTACTGGGTGTCGCAGCAATCTCTTGTTTATATCAAGCACTCTCCTGTGACAGGGTGGCCAGCAGGAGTCATCCTGATAATACGCCGGAGAAATATGGCCTGCTCGGCAACACAGGGCCGTGCAACACAGCGAGCAGCATGCTGTCTTCTCCATCTCGCCCCAGGCAGCCACTCACATGTTTATTTTCCATCAAAAGCATTTTGTAATTTAACAAGTAATAACCGACTTACATGATTTCAGAATTGGTGTCGACTCGAGGCTGCTTTCAAAAGCTATTTTGGAGCGTGAATGCCTAATATGTCCAGCTCTCAAGCCCATTATCACATAGCAATCCAAACATATAAATCACTTGACTGATATAGCATGGAGTGGGCAGAAAGGGAACTGTATTTGGCTGAAGCTATGTTGGTCTGTTTTCTTTACAGTTCTGGGTAGGGCATGACTTCATACTGTTACTCTCTCAGACCATAGCTGCTCTGAGGGAATGAACTGCAGTTTTATAATCAACAAGCTTAAACTAAGACTCACACGAACGGATGTGTTCACCTAAACAAATGATATTACCAACCATGATAGGAATTGATATGATAATGAGCATGCTTTTGATAATACCACTAAGGACATAGATCCATTTAATCAGTAAGAGCTTCTACATAAACCCATTGGAAAAATAAAACTCTCCTCAGGCTAAAATACAGGTGCCTCATCTCAGTGTTTGTCTGAAGCAGATCTTTGTGAAGAGCTTAAAGCAAAGCCAGAGCCAGCCAGTGAAGGACACTCTGTTCTGTTTGTAGAGTTGGATTGCCCGTCGCTGTCTTTGTGTTGATGTAAATTGAACAGGCTAATGTTTCTCCATCGCATTAAATATTCATTACAATTAGACCTTCCTGTTTGCATCAATGTTATTCATTATAAGGAAAAAACAGCCAGTTCGACTCAAAATAGCCAAACATCCGGAGTGAGAAGGGAAGAAAGGAATAGATATTTGTGTGGGAGTAATTGAGGGAGAGACAGATACAAATATATTAAGATAGAGATATTATTATTATTATATAGCAAAATAAAAATGTTTAAAAAGAGAAAAAGGTGTCTTGGTTTGATTTTCCCTCTCGGCTTTTAATCGGGCAGAGGGAACCCTCTCAAAGCACAATGTGGATTGTTCCTGCGCCTCTCAGGAAATGCCACAATTACAGATCACAGACCAAGCAAAACATGTGTGGCGCTGGGCCTTTAGGGGGATAAACAGCCCGCCATTCCCTCCCAGTGCATTGACCCCAGCCACAACCTTCATTACTGGGAGAGAAAATATTGTCAGCTGCCCACTAACAAACACCTGCCAATTTCAAGAGAAGGAATTGCTTTTTTTTCAGCCGCCAAAGGAAAATAAAGTGTTTCTTAGACAAGCAGTGTAAAGAAAAGATAAGGCTGTGTTCAACCCCGTCCGTCCTTTTTTTTTTTACTCTGTCTCAACTATTTATCCGTCTTTCGCCCTCTGTCTTTCTTTGGCCACTGGGTGCTGCCCTGCCACTCATCTGACTCATCACCACACAACTCTAATGGAGCTGAAATCCTGCCTGTAATTAGATATGGGAATTCTACTGTCATCAGCCAGATGATGCCACGACATGCAGACCAAATAACAGCCCGAGTAAAAAGAAAAGACACAACAGCCCCTGCTATAGGGCTGGGCACTATGGACAAAATATATGTAATACAATTTTTTTTTTTAAATAAAACTTGAAAACCAGCATTGTAGGTTTGACTATTGCAGCATTTACAACATATTTTCACAATGAAAATGTAAATGATTTCCTAAAATAAATAAAAATGTAAATGAATAATCATCAGTAATGTGGATTTATTGACTAAGTGGGAAAGGCAGTTAGAACAGTTTGGTAATTAATTTTTTTTCAATAATTCACTTTAATGCAGCCTTTAAAACCAGGACACTTACGACGACTTTCAATTTCCAAAATCTATGTAAATGTCTCATTTCAGGACATATATATTATACCAATGTATGGCCCAGCCTTGTTTGTTGATGTACATTTTGAATTCATCCTCAACCCATAATACCACAGGCAGTTACATTCTGCAGCACCTTTTCAGCCCTAAAAGCCCTTTTGTCTCACATCTGTGGCTCCGGTCCAGGCTGTGGCCCACATGCTCGGCTGGAGCTGGACGGCTGGTGACAGGTACCTGGAGTGCTGCCTGACGGAGAGTTGAGAGAAGAGGTTCTGGGTGAGATGATGAGGAAGCATCATTCTGTCTTCCCAGGGTCATCAGGCTAATTTCTGCAAGCCCCGCCCTCATGCTTGTATGTTTGCGAGTGTGCATATGCATGTTTGTATGTGTGTGTTAGTGCGCGTGTGTGTATGCACGCATGCTTGTGTGATAGAGAAAGAGGGGGCCTTGGCCCCTGAGAGCATTCTGTGAGGAGACCACAGCTGTACACTCCCAGCAGCTAATTGGTCCTTATCTAGCTGTCCCATTCATCTTCATTTTTTACCAATTACTGAGCATTATCTGTGTTCTCAGTTGGGTATGGGACTTAATCCTTTTTGGTTAAGCTGGTGCTACAGCTTGCAAATTTCAAATGGAGAAGGGGGGTTATGGGGGAGAAAGGAGGGAAAGGTGGTGGGGAAGGAAAAGGGGGGGGGGGGGCAAAAGTCAGAGCAAAAACAAACTCTGAAACTTCCCATCATCCCTCTCTGGCAGGAAGCAATCAATAAACAATGACATCACACGAAGGAGAGAGGGAAAAAATGGAAGAGATCAATTATTGGCGTTATAATTCAAGTCCTTGTTTGCAAACGTTGCAGCCTCATTGATTAGGCTGTTCTTGTTGCACTCACCATTATTGACTTGTTAAAACCATATTTTCTCATCATCAGTGGTTTTACGTTTGCGGTCACACAGATAACAACGCTTTAAGGGGCCTTCATTAATTATTCAAGATGTATTCATTTTAAAGCACAGCCAGTCCAAATCATCCTGTTTACTCTACAAACAATACGGGTATAGTACATTTCTCATCCAGAAGGTACATCAAGACGCTGCAATCTGGGGCAGTTAGCCTTAATTTTCGAAGATCAATGCATAACTAGGCTCCTCT